TGAGCTGTTGTTCAGCATCTTAGCTGTGGAGGGCAGTGTCACTGGCCCTCACATGTGGGATCCGAACCGGGGCCCTCTGGCATCCCAAGCGAGTTCCCAACCATCGCGCCACTCGGCCGGCCCTTCAGGGTCATTCTTAACAAAGGAAAAGTGTGTCCCGTCACTTGAGAGTTGCTGTAAGCAGGAATGGATAGAGAACTCAGAGCCAAGTGAGGTATGGGTCGCACGTAGCTGGCTGGGCTCTTGTAGCAGATGAGAGCTTATGGACACTTCTCTCATTATTCATGTTCATGCCATGATCTCTCAAATGTCACAGTATTTAGTGTTAAGTCACAGGCGTCTGGGGTCTGCTGGTCTTCCACCAGTAGCTTTCCCATAGTGTCCACAATATTTAGTTTACATCTCTGTGCGAATTGTGTAGGTGGGATTCAAAGGCTTCCAAATTGCAGCTGAAAAGCAGAACGATGCCGTCTCTATTCGCTATGAAGGACGTGACTACCGGCTGTCCCACGGGTCCGTGGTCATCGCTGCAGTCACCAGCTGCACCAACAACTGTAACCCGTCTGCCATGCTGGCCGCAGGTGGGTGGTGGTGGAGGCAGAGCATGGTGTGGCCTTGCTGGCCGCAGGTGGGTGGTGGTGGAGGCAGAGTGTGGTGTGGCCTTCCCTAAGCAGTCTAGTCTACCTTCCTATCAGACTCACCTCCTGCGCCTCAGATTGTGCGTGAGGATCTGTCTGTGTTTGACAAGGGGACTCTTGAGGTTTTAATTTGGCCTTAAGGGGCCAAAGTTTGATTTGCATTATCAGTTTTGTTTTTATTACATAGGAGGTAAATTAGTATAGCTCACATGTCTGTTAGATTCAGGCCACATCTGCTTATTTGGCTAATGTAGAAGGACAGTTAATTATCAGATCTCTTGATAAGCTACTAGGAGTTTACCATAGCAGTGCTAGATTCCACTGAGAGCGTAAAGTAAAACATTTATGTCAGTGAGATCAACTGTATGTGCATGGTGCAGCTCAGTAATTGTATGAAGTCATAGATAATGTTAAGATGCTATGGTTTATTCTGATCGTGGCATTTAAAGGTTCAGTTAATGATATCTAGTATATGTGTGCATGATATTATATATCCTTTTTTCCATTTGTGTGCATGATGCTGTGCTATCAGGCCGTACCTTAGTAATTTACAATGTAAAGGCTAGTATATCTACTGCAAGTTTTTGTTTTAAATGAAACAAATCAATAGAATAAAGTGGACAAAATAATGATAGGAAATTCATGGGTTTGGACTTTTCCCCTAACATGAATTGGAGATCGACCTGTCTGGTAAACCTTTCTTGCTTCCTACTTGAATGTGAGATCAGGAGGGAGAGACCCCGCCATAACAAGTCATCGTTTGTTTACTGTGCAGGTCTTTTGGCTAAGAAAGCTGTTGAAGCTGGTCTGCATGTTAAACCTTACATAAGAACGAGTTTATCTCCAGGCAGTGGGATGGTTACACATTACCTCAGTTCCAGCGGAGTGTTGCCGTATCTTAGTCAGCTCGGGTAAGTGACAGCTGTCACTCTTTATATTGATACTGATGTTCAACAGTGGTTGAAGCTGCTGGTGAGGGCCTGTCATATGCAAAGACAGAAAACAATGTGCTTAGGTCTCCTTGTTCCCTTGCCATCACCACCCAGTTTCTGAGGCCTTATCCCTCAGCAAACATTTGTGGGGCATTTTCAGTGCGCCAGGCAATGTGTTGGTTACAGAGAAAGAGAGGTCTCTAGTTTCAGGCTGGACAGATAAGACGAACAAGTAAAATCAAGAACAGTGACGGACAGTGTGAGGGATGTGTTGTGTAGTTCAGCTTTCAGAAAAGAATGGAATCTTACATGTTGTATTATTAACTGAGTAAACTGTCTTGAGGTTTTATGAGATTATTGGGCCTATTAAGCATAGATTAAGTTGTCCCTGAACTTTGGGGGAAAAACTTTTACATTTCTTACGTACTCAAAAAATAAATTATGGATGCTGGCTGTTTTCAGTGTATATTTTGGAACATTATCTTAAATTAACCATTAATTCCTTTGCCCCCTGATAAATTGTATGCGTTGGATTTAGAAGAGCAGCTGGAAGTAATTTTGAGGATTACGTGTGTAACTTTTCAGTCCTGTCATCTTGGAGTTTTTGTCAGGGACTTTTCCTGCTTTAATTCATTGAGACGTGAGAGCTGGACTCCTGTCGGAGTACTTACTGCAGTGCCTCTCTGGGACTTTGGTGCTCATGACACCTGACAGTTTAAACCCCTTTGGATGGAGTACAGCATACAGCATTAGGTTTTTTTGAATGGTCATGTTACGTTCCCAGCAAGGGGTAGGTGAGGAATTTCCCCACAGTGTGATAGCTTCCATGTCAGGATCAGCTAAGCGGGAACAGCCTCTGCACCCAGGCCCCCCTCAGTGTATGCAGCACCAGTGGCCTTGATGGCTCAGGAGCTGTGACCTGAGCACACTGATGAAGGCTGATCCTCGTGTAGTGTTCTCGTACGTCCCCCGGTGACAGTGATGGGAATGAGAACTAGCACCTGTCCTTTCTTGACACATGTTGTGATGTTCTGTCAATCACATTTATTTTCTGAAATGCAGATTTGAAATAGTGGGCTATGGATGTTCTACGTGCGTGGGGAATACAGCGCCCTTATCAGAAGCAGTTCTGAATGCAGTGAAGCAGGTACAGAGTGGGATGGGAGACGCGCACGCGGGTTTCCTCAACGGTCTTTCTTTATGATGGACAGTAGATGCTGATGTGTATAGATGGACAGTAGATGCTGATGTGTATATTTCTGCAGTGCTTGCCCCTCTTGGGAAGAGTAACCTGTTCATCTTAAGGGAATCAAAGGATCGTTTTTAGATTCTTGAAGTAATTCCTTCATAATGTAAGGAATTATTTTAGCTTATTTACAAGATGGATAGTTCTATATGTAATAATTGGTAATATGCTTTTTAGTTATCTTGCCCTAAGAAATGTAATATTTGAGGTAGCTGTATATGATTATCCAAATTGGTATCATCTTTTGAATTGAATATATTTGTTTGTATTATTATTTTTTTTCAGGGTGATTTGGTTACTTGTGGAGTTTTATCTGGAAACAAAAGTTTTGAAGGTCGTCTCTGTGATTGCGTTCGTGCCAATTACCTCGCCTCTCCACCCTTAGTGGTAGCGTACGCCATAGCAGGCACAGTGAACATAGACTTCCAGACAGAGCCTCTAGGTATGTTTTCCTTTGTATACACACCTGCACTCACTTCTTTCCCCAAAAGTTGGTAGTTTTGAAATGCTTCTTAAATTATCCGTTCTTTGAATTATTTCAGAAAATCTTACCATAATGCAGTTACTTCTGTATTCATATGAAAAATAGAAAATGTGCAAGTAATTAATAGTTCTTCCAGCTGTATAAGCCTGAAGCAATCACTTGGTTTCTATGATATGTCTTGAAAAAGATGTGAACATCTTGAGGGAGTTATTTTTGATATTAACTCTCTTTAAAATTTTTAACCAGGTACTGACCCTACTGGAAAGAGCGTTTACCTGCATGATATTTGGCCTAGTCAAGAAGAAGTTCATCAGATAGAGGAAGAACATGTTATATTATCCATGTTTAAAGCGTTGAAAGAGAAAATAGAGGTCAGAATCTCACTTGTTTCTTAAATAGTTTAATAGCGTCATTGTTTGTTTCATGCATCTTTTTGAATAGGATAAAAATTTAAATTACATTATTTTGAACACAGTTCTTAATGAGTGATAGTGATTTTGTATCTGGAATCTAATATCTAAGAGATTAGCTTGCGTATTAGAACTGATTTTATTGCTTATTAGAAATATGTAGCAAGCATTTATATTTGGCATCCTGAATATTGGTGCACTTCATAGGACCTGCCAATGTTTGTCACGTTCAAATGATTCAAAATTCAAAAGAAAAAGAGCAAACAATGAAACCTCCCTCCCTCCCTTCCATCCACTTCCCAGCCATCCACTTCTCTTCCTTAGAGGCAGCCAGTGATGTCAACTTCTTAAGTGCCTTCCAGAGATGTTTTGTGCACATGGAAACAAATACATAGACTTTTATGAGAACATAGAATGTAAATATGAGGACAGAAAAAGCATTTATTCATTTAACAAATATTTATTGCACACCTACTATGTGTTTGGCATGTATGGATGAAGAAAAGCCAGACTTCTCATGGGGAGAGGCAGAAAGTGAACAGTACACAGAGTAATTAGGGAAAGTATGTTAAAAAATGAGATGCTCTATGGGAAAATATAGACCAGGGCAAAGAGAACCAGTTGTGCACAATTTGGGGAACAAATTGCAGTTTTATGTAGGATGATTGAAAACACAGCATTTGAGCAAAGTTTTGAAGAAGGTAAACGAGTTTGCCACATGTCTGGAGAAATAGCAGGGCTCTCCAGGCAGAGGGAACAGTGTCGAGGCTGTGAGTAATGAGGGCGGTGTGGCCACAGCACAGGAAATAAAGATGGTGGTAGGAAGTGATGGCTGAGAGACGTGGAGGTCCAGGATCCCTATGGGATCTTAGGCCATTAGGAAAGTTCAATGCTTTACTCTGGGTGAAGTGGGGTGGGAGGCCATTGAGCAGAGGGGTGTCATAACCAAAAGGATGGCTCTTTGTATCGAAAATACAGAGGGTGCTCAAATAATGTGCATACATTTTAAGAAAGGAAAAAACTGGGCCGGCCGAGTGGCACGTTGGTTAATAGCTGGCTTGGGACGCCAGAAGGCCCCGGTTCGGATCCCACATTTGGGCCAGTGACGCTGTGCCCTCTACAGCTAAGATGCTGAACAACAGCTCAACCTGGAGTTGGGCTGCCGTGAGTCGCTGGTGACAGCGTAGGCTGCAGCCTCTGCTGCAGTGGGCTGCCATGGGCTACCGTGTGTAGCCAGCAGCCTGCGTGAGCGGCCAGCAGCCGCCGTGAGCAACCGTCCAGAAGCCGGCGACTGATCTGCCTCGCCCGGGAAGAGCGCAATGATGGTGCCAACTTGGGCCAGTGAAGCAACGTCTTCCACAACTAGACTGAAGAACAAAAGGACAGCAACTTGTCTGTTCCCCTTCCTCCAATTCCCCAATAAAAAAATCTTTAAAAAAGAAAGGAAAAAACTATTGTAATACTCAAAATATACCGATAACAAAAAATGAATACAAGTCATATATATACTCGTTTTTTTGGCGCCCGCGGTGTATTGGGGAGACAGGGTTGTAGAAGAAGGACTGAAGCAGGAAGACCCGTTGTAGTGCAGATGGCAGGGACCGGTGGGGTGGCAGTGGGCTGGTGAGGCTTGAATATAGTTTGAAGGCAGGACTGATTGACATAGGACAATTATAACAAATACCGGGAGTGCCAAAAAAATGTATACACATTTTAAGAGATGTTAACACTTTAGTTAATGTTGCTCAAGCAGTAGTTCACCATAATCAGAAGTGTCTGGACACTGATGGTAACCACTTTGAGCACCTCTTGTAATTGCAGAAGTCAAATGTGACTTGTATTCATCTTTTGTTATCGGTATATATTGAGTATTACAATTTTAATAGTTTTCCTTAAAATGTATATACATTTTTTGGGCACCCTTTGTATATTCAAAAAGAGCAGAGGTTATTCCCCCAGGGTCAGACTTTTAAAGATCACACTTCATCTTTCTTTAGGGACACGTGTAGATCTTTCTAAATTCTTTAGCTTTTTTTGGGTTCTTTAAAGTCTTTTATGTTCAGTTTACGCTGAAACTTAACTCTTAGGGTGTTCCTGAAAATCTGGTGTGCCGGAATTTAATAATCAAATCCTTATTCATTCTGTCCAAAAATGTCGTTTTTTAGGATGCACCCTCAGCTTTCTCTCCAAATGAATAAGACTTTTTTTTCATTCTAACCTAAGTGCTATTTATCCCCTTGATTATTTTCATAATCCTCTTTTTCTCACTCCGGTTTCTTTTTCTTTTGGTTTTCAACCCAAACCATATTCACAGATGGGAAATAAACGGTGGAATTCCTTAGAAGCACCGGACTCAGTTTTGTTTCCATGGGAGTTAAAGTCCACTTATATCAGATGTCCTTCATTTTTTGATAAGCTTGTGAGTACGGTTTTACTGTTTGATCTTTAGAGATTGTTAGGAAATAAAAGTCTCTTGAGGAGCTCAGTGCCTTCCACTTCTCTACCTTTCAGACCAAAGAGCCAGTCGCACTGCGGCGGATTGAAAATGCCCACGTCTTACTACACCTGGGAGACTCTGTCACCACAGACCACATATCACCTGCTGGGAGCATCGCCAGGAGTAGTGCTGCGGCCAAGTACTTGACAAACAGAGGGTGTGTGTGCGGGCTCTCAGGGTCTTTGCATCTTCTCTCTCATGCTATGAGGCTCCCACATCCCGTGACAAATGCTGTCACGTGGTTCTAACCATCCTCCCATTGTTGGAGCATGCGATTTAAATGTATGCTTTGTGGTGCTAAACCATGTACGAGCTTGAGGCTTGGCTTGATTCGTAGCGAATCAGAAGACAGTGTTATCTGACATCTGGTTTGTAAGAATACAGGGGGCAGACAGCTTGGAGGCAGTCAGCACATTCTCGATACAGAAAGGGGCAGAGCACGAGAGGGGACAGAGACGAGACCTCAGCTCAGCTGAATGAATTCATGGACCATGTGTGCATCCTGATTTGAATAAGCCAAGAACAAAAGAAGTATGCAGAAAGTCAGGGACATATGGATTTCAGCTGGCTATCTTATACTAAAAAATGGAGATTTCTTTTTGTTCGTTTTGGTTTTGCTTTTTAGTTGTTAAGATAGTATTTTTTAGGAGTCCGTATCTTTTAGAAAAATATGCTAAAACATATAGAGTTAAAATATGACATCGGAGTTTGCTTCATAGTAGTCTAATGGGGGTGATTACAGCAGGAACAGAGTCCATGACTCACTTAGTATCATTTAGTGACAGGTGCCTGAGCGTTCACTGTTCTCTTTGCTCCACTTTTGCACATGCTTGAAATTTCACATCATGAAAAAGTGGTTTTGAATAAGCTTTACAATTCAGTAATATGTGATTGTTCTTCATCTGAACTGAAAACACTTTTGTAACTCTCGTAGTCTTACCCCTCGTGAATTCAACTCTTACGGAGCCCGAAGAGGTAATGATGCCGTGATGACAAGAGGCACTTTTGCAAATATCAAGCTTTTTAATAAGTTTATTGGAAAACCAGCTCCCAAAACAATTCATTTTCCATCAGGACAGACGGTAAGGATGTGTACAAAGTATAAACAGAGGCAGTTGTTAACTAAATCAAAATTTGTACTAAAGATTTTTGTGTTTGTTTTCATCTACAGCTAGATGTATTCGAGGCTGCAGAGCTGTATCAGAAAGAAGGTATCCCACTGATTATTTTAGCAGGAAAGAAATATGGTTCAGGAAATTCAAGAGACTGGGCTGCCAAAGGACCATATTTGCTGGTATTGATTCTTAAATTTTATCTTCTTAAACATCAGAGTTTTAAATAATTCCCTTTGTCAGTAATATCCTATCAAAGTTTATTTTGCTCATTTGGATTTTTTATGCTTATTTGGATCTCATAATATTTGGGGGTCTTTTTAAGTGATTTTATATATTTTCTAGTTGCATTAATACTCTGCTTTTGATTAGAAGAACATTAGTCTTTTCTTACTTGAGGAAATCAATAGAGAAAGGAGAGTCTGTCTTAAACTATGTTTTATAGTAATAATAGCTTGTACCCATTGGTAGTTTTTCTTGCCCCCTTTTCATTTAATTTTCTCTGAGTTGCTCCATCAGGAGTTAACAGACTCAAAGATAGTGGGCCAAATTTCACTTTTATTTTCCCAAACAGTTGATGGTGGTGTCTGGCTGTGTGCCAGGAAAACACTACTCCTGAGACTATTTGTTGAAGAGCAGTAGGGGATCTGCTGGAGAGAACAGTCCTGGGACATGTGCCTGCTGCCACTTCAGAGTCACAAGTGCTTCTCTTTGCAGTGCAGTTGTAAAACGGCCAGCCAGACACAACCTCAGAGCTGTCATAGTCATACAGACTTCATTCTTTTTGAATCTTGACTATTCCCCCCTTAAAGTGTGAATACTCTGAAGAGTTTTAGAAATAAGCCACATTCTCTCATCTTTCTGAGGTAGTAATTAGAAGGATTGTGAATATTATAGGTATAGGTTTTCTTTTTTCTCCCCTCATAGCTGATGATTGTTGGCTGTCCATTCAGTTAGAGATACAGAACTGACTGCAAGGTGTGGATGTGGCTGGGTTTTGTCAGTTAGTGGGCCTTACAATAGGTGATTGGCTGATGTGCTCCCTTTTTCATTGTGAGAGATCTGTATGTCTTATCTATTTCCTTCGAGGCTGTTCAGTTTCTCCCAGGGAGCAGACCCTTTCAGGACACAGGCTTCGACTTACTGCCCGTTTCCAAACCTGTTCTCACCCCAGCCTTCCCTTATGTCCAGTATTTCTTGGTCTAGAGCACCCGTTCTCAACAGGCTGATGGCACTCCCAGGGCAAAAATTAGTTCTTGGGTGGTAAAAAAAAAGCTTCCTCTTATGTATAAAGTACCAAAATACAAACGCGTATAGCACATCAACAGGTATGCAGTATATTTGTGGGTTTAAATTTTCGGGGGTGGGCAGTGAGGAAGAAGATGTGATTGGGGGAATGTCTAAAAAAGGCTCCTTGGGGGACAATGATTTTTTTAAAAAAACAGTTGAAAAACATGGGTCTCTGGAGAATAAGCCTTTATCTTCTGGAGTGGAGACTGAGCTGGAGCTCTTCTGTTGTTCATGGGTTCTAACCAGCGTCCAGTGTCTTGGGAAGCTTGGGCCTCTTATAGGTTCCCTGCTACACATTGACTAGGCCTTCTTGGTGTTACTCTCGAGGCTCAGGTGATCACTCCGAACCTGTCTGCCAAGTCCGCCGCCTGCCCCCTCCTCTAAATACTTATGCAATTTGCTTCTCCTGGATAGTTATGGGGCTATACTTCCTCTATCCCTTGATTTTACTGGCATTTCAAGAGGGCGTGTTGATTAACACAAACATGAGCTCCACCATGATTCAACAGAAAGCCTGCTAAGCCCCACTGATAGAGCCCTTACTGTGTGGCCTAAGGGCAGATAGAAGACGTCAGGAAGCTACTCACGTACAGGAAACTCTAGAAGACTTCTGTAAATTGGTACAACACTGACCTTTAGTATGGATTATTAGGTTAAAAGTTTCTACAGAGGGGCCGGCCGAGTGACATGTTGGTTGAGAGTTGGCTTGGGACGCCGGCTCTGAGCGGCAGGGTCCTGGTTCAGATCCCACATGAGGGCCTGTGATGCTGTGCCCTCTACAGCTAAGATGGTGGACAGCAGCTTGTCCTGGAGCTGGGCTGCCATGAGTCGCCAGCGATGGCGAAGGCTACAGCCCCTGCTGCAGTGGGCTCCTATGAGCTACCGTGAGCGGCCGGCAGCTGGCGCCGTGAGCCGCCGTTGGCGGCCGTCCAATGACTGGCAGGTGACTGCCTCGCCCGGGAAGAGCACAATGGTGGTGCCAACATGGGCCAGTGAGGCAGTGTCCTCTGCAGCTGGACTGGAGAACAAAAGAACGGCGACGTCTCTGTTCCCCTTCCTCAGTTCCCCAATAAAATCTTAAAAAAAAAAAAAGTTTCTACAGGAAGACCAAAAGTAGAATTTTTTTCTTTTTTTTTTTTTTTTTTCTAAGATTTTTTTTTTTTATTGGGGAATTGGGGGGATGGGAACAGTGCTGGGGAATTGGGGGAAGGGGAACAGACAAGTTGCTGTCGTTTTGCTCTTCAGTCTAGTTGTGGAGGACGTTGCTTCACTGGCCCAAGTTGGCACCATCATTGCGCTCTTCCCGGGTGAGGCAGACCAGTCGCCGGCTTCTGGATGGCCGCTCACTGCGGCTGCTGGCCGCTCACGCTGGCTGCTGGCTACATACGGTAGCCCATGGCAACCCACTGCCACAGGGACTGCAGCCTAGGCCGTCGCTGGCGACTCATGGCAGCCCAGCTCCAGGTTGAGCTGTTGTTCAGCATCTTAGCTGTAGAGGGCAGTGTCACTGGCCCTCATATGTGGGATCCGATCCGGGGCCCTCTGGCATCCCAAACGAGTTCTTAACCATCGCACCACTCGGCCGGCCCAGAATTTTTTTCTTTAAAATGCTGAATAAAGCAACTTTCAGAGATGATTGGAGTAAATAAAATGCACATTTGTTACAGGGTGTGAAAGCTGTTTTGGCTGAAAGTTATGAAAAAATTCATAAAGATCATTTGATCGGAATGGGCATAGCCCCACTTCAGTTCCTTCCGGGAGAAAGTGCAGATTCCTTGGGCCTCTCCGGCAGAGAAACATTTTCTTTAACATTTCCTGAAGAACTGTCTCCTGGAGTGACGTTAAGTATAAAGGTATTTCTAAAATTCTCAGATACATGGTTGTGTGCTGTATTTTCCCATGGGTGGTTATAAGTTGAATAAAAGCAATTACTGTAAATTGCATACTGACGTCAGGTGTGACATAAACTGTAGTTTAAGATGGCTGTTTCCTGTGTTAACACAGTTCTATGAGGAAAAGTAGAGCACACTGGACACTAGTCCAGAAAAGGGAAGACATGGACAGTCACGTGTCAGCTGCCTTTTCCTGGCTGGCAGCTCTTTCTTTTCTGATATACTTTTGATCCAGGCATATGCACCGCTCCAAAGACACTGCAGAGTCGAGCATTCACGGTTAGAAGAACACAGACTTACACTAAGAAAAAAAGGAAAAGAGTAACTGATATAAATGCAATACATATTTAATAAAGTGAACATAAGTAGTATGACTTTCCTGATTCATAAGTCAGAATATAAATTGCTTGATTTGGTGTTCTAGATAGTATAATATTACCATTCAGAATTAGGGATGAAAATACCCGTTTTCCTCCTTAGCTGTGAAGCCCGTGGTTAGATATCTCAGATGGTTTTCAAGCAGGGGAAAGGCTTCTCAGAGAGAATATGTGGCCAGTGTAATCACTGGCTGTGAGGACAGATGGTCTTGACGGCTTTGAAGATGTTACCACTCACGGGAGATATTTCTGTTTGTTTAAAGACAAGCACTGGAAAAGTGTTCAGCGTGACCGCTTCATTTGAAAATGATGTGGAAATAACATTGTTCAAACATGGAGGATTATTAAACTTTGTGGCCCGAAAATTCTCATAGTGTCTGCTCACCGTGGATACTTGCCTAGCTGGTTACTGCAAACAAAACCTTTTGTACTGGACCCAGGCATTGTCCCCAGGAGCTGCCGACAGGCCGGATGCTCATGCATCTCATCCACGGATGTAAATGACTGTGAATCAACGTCGTGACAGAATGAAATCTTGATTCTACATAATACATGAATGGTGCTATTAACATTGCTAAAAACGCGTGTGGCGTGTGTTGCGGAAGAGACCTGTAAGTATGAGGGGTATTTTATCAGACCATTTTGTAAATAAAGGCAGAATTTGAACTTGTGTTGAAGATTCTTATACGAATAACCTCCCTGAAGTTGTCTGTTTAGTTTTGCACCTATAAAACTGTATACTACTGTTTGTTGGTTTAAGTAGGAGATTAAAAGAAGCCAGATTAGGCCCTGAAATTGTGGGAGTTGCAATCTGATTGATAGGTGGACTTTCAGATAGATGAATTCCTTTTCAGAACTGTGCTGGATATAGTTGGCATTCTTAGTTTGTAGCATAAGCCAGGATTCCCCTGTGTCCGTCTGACTGCAGGAGATAGGACAGGACCTGCCTCAGACACAATCATTCTGTCTAGTTCAACAAGGTTTCCTCCACTTCTGAAGACAGACCATGACAGAACACAACCGATGCCGTAACACCACGTATTAACAGCTGGCATCGTCTTAACTGGGTTATGTTCTTTTTCTCACCTGTATGGTACTATAACTCCCTGTAACCTGGCATCGGTAACCAAAAGTTCACACTCATTTTGAGTTGCTAAAGAGAACTTTATTTAATCATTAAACACTAAAATGGTTTCTTCTAGACTTTTAAGTTATCCATCCTCCATTATATGGTTGCTCAACCCTAAGCATTTTCAAATGTTGGTTATTTCTTTATTTAGATTGATTTCCTGTCATTTTGAGTCATTATTTTACCAGAGGTGCATGATTCTATTAATGGTGTTACATTTTTGTTTTAACCAAAGCTGCCCATCAGGATAAAACGCTGTTGTTGCTGAGCACCGTATTTTCTCTAGATGTATGTCTGTTTACCACCTCGAATCTCTGTCAACAAGAAGTTGGGCAACTTCTAATCTGGATAATTAAGTCCAGAAAGGCCTATGCCCTTTTTTTATAGAGAAATGAAACTTAGCAGGCAAAAGGTTAATTGTAGGGATTTTTTTCACAAGAAGATCTTTATGTGACCAAATTAAGTTACTGCAATTCAGAATTAGCTCACATTGCACAGTATACAGAATGATTTGTTTTAAGCTAAAATGCTGAAACTACCAAACCAGTGGGTGAGGACCACTGAGACCTTTGCACATAATCAGTCTCACAATCTTTTGAAAATATTCTACAGATAATGTTTAGACAATTAGATGGGCAAAATGATTTGACAAAAATGATTTCCCCTTTTTATTTAAATCATTAATAAATGTTTTCTGTGGTACTTTAAAATCATACTGTGTTCTTGATATTTTTGTTATGGTGTATCTGTCAGTGCATGTATTTTTAATGTACATGAAATTTACATGAAAACATGAGTTACGGATGGAGCATTTCTAAGTGGAATGTTAAAATACCTGTGACACGCTTTGAAGAAATGATAGTTTCATATGGTGGGGGGGGTTGGGGGGGCATTGGTATTATTTGTAAGCATACTATAATACATAGCCTGTGGGCAGAGGCATGGGCACCATCACAAACAGCTGACCTAGAGATGAAGGTGATAAAGCCAGCTAGCTAGGAATTAAGCACTTAAATTTCTAGTCTACCTTGTCCAGTAGTAGTACAAGCAAACTTTGTATTTCAGGAGCAGACTCAAGGTTTTCTTAATCTCTCGTTCATATACAATGAACCAAAAAGCCTGATGAGCATGGTTATCAGTTGGGGAGGGCAGTTGTGGATGTGTGTCGCGGCGTGTACCTTATAATTCTGCCTCTAGCCAAATACTGTGTTTGCAGAAACGTGGCATCTGTTGGTTGTATTGTTTTATTTATCGCCTTTGTTAATTAGATCTGGATATTTTGTGTTTAAAAAACAAATATTGCAGGAAGGAGTTTAATGGTTACAGAAGAAAAGAAAAGCAGTGCTATAAACTTTGAGTACATTATACTCCATGCAGTTGCCATATTTCATGCCTTTGGGTTTTGTTACTCTTGTAAAATGAAACCAGTGGAAATGTCATCCAGCCACTGAATTGCCATTATTATACCTGAAAAGTTTCCAGGATGACAGTTACCATCATTTCCTGTTTTGTCTCCAGATATTCAAGGTGACATTTGAATGAGCAGTATCAGAATCCCTTCAACCAGTTTGCTCAGTTTTTCACTGGTGATCAGACTTCAGTGGTACCAAAGGGGGAAAGTGCAGCTAAGACCTAAATCAGTCCACGTCATTTGCATATACTCATATGTGGTAACAGTGCTGTGTGCATCACCTTGTCAGTGATGCGTGCATGACAGGACAGGGAGAAGTTATTTGACTGACATTTTTCTGTGGTTGAATTACAAGACACCTTTTCTTTGTGCCTTTTGATTTAGGAGAAGGTACTAAGATTCTGGGTGTTGACTCTGTCTTAGTTTGATCTGGAGTAATAGAGAGGGAAAGGAGATGGACTTAAGCTTCTTCACGGCCTTCACCTAAATTGTGAGAGTGCCCGTGTTTCTATCAATTTTACATATAACATGTATCTCACTTAAGTACCTACAAATCATTGTCAATTATTTAAAGCCAACCAAACAGTGTAACAGTTTTAAGTTCAATGTTAAGTATTGTATAGAAATATATTGGAGGCAAAGTTCAATTGATGACAATTGTGTATATGTTATTGATGCTGTAAATTATTTTTAATAAAGAAAATTGTATTATCACACATTTGACTTATTAGAAAGTATTTTGTAGTAATTGAACATAAAATACTGTAACTTAAAAAGAGATAGGATGACATGCAGAAATTTATCTGCAAACACGTTATCTAAATGTTCAGACATGAGTTACTCCCAATATGATCGCCAAAATGTGTACTGTGGTCATTCTTGTCCCTATGCTCAGCTGGTCCTTTCTGTTCTAGGGCTAGTGGGAATGAAAACCAAGGTAAGTTCTGAAAGACGGATCGCCCTAAGGGAACAAGTAAAGTTGAACACAATTCAAGGGTAGTTCCAACAGGCCGTAAATTCATGGAGTCACGTTTTGGAGTTGAAAAGACTAATCTCTCACCCAAAGCAGGATCCCTTGTACAGACAGCATCTAACTAGGAGAACTTTTCTTGATTGTTCAAGAGATGGAGACACCCTGTTGACTGAAGTTGGAGTGTAAGTTACTTTCGAGCTGCAGTCAGCCTGCTGGGAGCTTACACCTACTGGTTCTGCCTGTCCCTAATTTGTCTTTGCCTCTTAAAGCACTTTGGTACAACCAAGCATTAAGTGCATATTTAATGAATATATCGGACCCTTCTCCAGTCGCCCTGCATATAAGCTTCATGTAGGAGACCTTTTAGTAAGAAGGTAACTCCTGTGAAATTCTATGAATTGGCAGCCTCATGCTGTAAGTTGTATATTTGGGAAGAAATGGCCTTTCTTTTGCGATGCACAGTGGAGGTGCTTTTTCCATGAGCCTGTATGCTGTAGGACCAGCTGATGATGCCCCTTCCTCCCTTTCTCCACTGGCCCTTCATTAGCGTCCCCATGAAGCATCACCTGGAGCTGGGAGTCAGGACCCCGGGCCTCTGAAGTCAGCTGTGCACTGGCCTAAAAATATCTGCCCTTCCTCCCATTGTTAATAGCAACCTAAACGGGTGATGAAAGTTTATTAAAATTTGTCATCCATAAACCAAAATTGATGCATTATTAAGTTTTCTAAGGATTCTGAGACATTTGTCAGCATCACAAAGGCTAATACCAATAGAGGCACATGCTGACAATTTGAATATCCAGAGTTTTTGAGGAGACTTAGTGCATCATCAGTGCTGTGTTTCATTGGCTTGTGTTCACTTGATGCCAGTTTTGGTGTTTTAATTATAAATGGTTTAGCTTCAGCATATTTGTTTTTATTTGATGTGAGTTGTGTGGCTGGTAAAATTTGTGTTGAGCATATTTCAAAAGTGGGACATCTATTGCAAAAGCAGACGTATATGTAATCCCCACAAATTCACCCGTACAGTGACAGTTGTGTTGTCTGTAAGTTTTGTGTTCACAGGATGTTGGCACTGAACTTCTAACATTTTAAATAACCTGCAGTATATCGCTAAAGGAAGTATAAAACTACTGGGCTATTGCGTTTTATAGAATGTTTTATAATACAAAATCATGTCTATAATCGCACTTTGAAAATTGTTCATTTTGCTTCACTCCAGTTTTTGATGACTGAACTCTGAGAGCCACTACTTAAATGTCCCAGTTGCCAGGTAAGGAAGAAAAAATTGTTAATGTGATGACATTTCTCATCCATCATACTGGAGCTTTCTCATCATGACTGCCTGTACAGGCATTGTTGAGGAAAAGCATGATTTAGCAGCAAGTATTAAGAGCCTTAGAAATGTTCACTCTGGGCCGGCCGAGTGGCACGTTGGTTAAGAGTTGGCTTGGGAGCACGAGCTCTGAGTAGCAGGGCCCCAGTTCGGATCCTATATGAGGGCCAGTGACGCTGCACCCTCTACAGCGAAGATGGTGAACAACAGTTCGACCTGGAGCTGGGCTGCCGTGAGTCACCAGCCACAGCGTAGGCTGCAGTGGGACTGCAGTGGGCTGCCGTGAGCTACCGTGAGTGGCAGGCAGCCAGCGTGAGCGGCCGGCCATCCATTGGCTGGTGACCGATCTGCCTCAGCCAGGAAGAGCAAAATGATCACAATACCAACATGGGCCAGTGAAATGATGTCCTCCACAACTAGACTGAAGAACAAAAGGACAGCAACTTGTCTGTCCCCTCTCCCCGATTCCCCAAAGAATCTTTTTTAAAAAAACTAGTTATTTAAAAAAAACAAAAGGTTCACTTTCTTATATCCAGGAACATGACTGAGCATTGTATCTTAAAGACATAATTTAAAAAGCACAAAAGGGCCGGCCGAGTGGCGCATTTGTTAAGAGCTGGCTTGGGACGCCAGTTCTGAGCAGCAGGGCCCCAGTTCAGATCCCACATGAGGGCCCGTGACGCTATGTCCTCTACAACTAAGATGGTGAAGTACAGCTCAACCTGGAGCTGGGTTGCTGTGAGGCGCCGGTGATGGCGTACGTAGGCTGCAGTGGGCTGCTGTAAGCTATCGTGAGTGGCCAGCAGCTGGTGTGAGCTGCCAAGAGCTGCCGTGAGCGGCTGTCCAATGGCCGGCGACTGATCTGCCTCACCTGGGAAGAGCGCAATGAATACCAACATGGGCCAGTGAAGCGACGTCCTCCACAACTAGACTGAAGAACAAAAAGGACAGCAACTTGTCTGTTCCCCTTCCCCGATTCCCCCCCCCCCAAAAAAATTGCACAAAAGACTTATGTGTAAGGATATTCTTAAAGACAAGGAAATGCTCCTTTAAAGTGAAAAGGGCAGGTTACAAAATGCAGTCTTGCTAAAGATGATGCAGTAAGTACATTTCGAGGTATGTGAAAGCAGGCAGTTTTTGGATCTGGGAACCCTGTCTTCAATTCTCAACACAATTTCAAAATTCAGTCTTCGTTCTCATTCCCGCATCCCAAGAAGTGTAAGGGAAAAACACAAAATTGGTGGGGTAGTGAGAGGGTGGAGAGCATTGAGGAGCTGCCTGAGGGAACAGCATGCAGAGGGTCCTTCCTAACAGGGCCACAGGACTCAGATTCTGGTTACAGAAAATCCAAATCAGAGTTGGTCTTGAACAGCCTGAAGGAATGAGATAAGTTAATATTGTCGCCCTGGGGCTGTAAAAAGTCAGCTACTTGGAGATTAGAAGTGAAGCCGATAAGAACCAAATCTAAAGGGAGGAAAGGGGCCTGTCCCTTGGCAGAGGTATGGGAAACATCCAAGTCAAAATCAAGGTGGCTGTAGATAACCCCCAGTGTGCTATATCCTGAAGGGGGCGGGGAAGCATGTGGGGAGGGGGCAAGTGGTGGGGTAAAGTGCATCGACAAAAACTGTGGAGACGGAGTTGCAGGCGTAAGTGGACAGGTGTCTAGAACTGTCCCCGTACAGAGAAGTCCTGCTGGCTGCAGACGTGCATCAAGCTGTCATACCAGTGCCCTTGGCAATGAGGATGACCCACCTAACCCGGCTGCTAAACCGTGGTTCCCAGGCCGCTTCCGGAAAATCACGTGGTTCTGAACTTCTCCCGAAGGGGGAGAATCCTTAGATTGCACTAAGGGTTCTGACCCAACCACCAGTTCTCTTGCTCTGTAAATGAACCACTCATTACACCAGACTTATACTTCCCCGCTCCCTTAACATCTAATATTGTGAATTCAATGGCTTGGGAAGAGAGTAGAAAGCCGGGTGCTGTGGCAAGAGGGTAAACCAGAAGCTGGGTGAGCAGGTCTGGTGGAGGCTCTGTGCCCCATGGGCTTCAGTTTCCCATCAGCACTAGGAGTTCGCGGACCTATTCGGTAAGAAAGACCATTTCAAGTTCTACCTTCCAGCGCTCTGGGAGCTCGGTCTGGCGCAGAACGCAGCCAGCCCGACTCTCCCCGCCCAAGACTTCCAATCAGAAGTCTGCAGTTCCTGGGGCTGGGCCTCGGGGATGCGTGCTGCCAGCAGGAGTGGAAGGAGAGCGAAGAAAGAAAAAAGGATGCGCATTGTGCTCAGACGCCTGAAATCCTGAGAAACAGTCCACGAAGCCTCCCTCGTGGACTGGGTGGACTGGGAGGTGCCACTCAAGAGCCGGAAGCCTGCTAGATGGCTGCTCATCAAGGGGCGGGGCGGAATCCCGAAGAGCCAGTAAGAAACAAGATACCCGTTCTGTGGCAAGGCAACCGGATTCTGACGGGTGAGCACCAAGAGAAGGCGGGGCCGGGTTGCAGAGGGCCAATCAGAAGCTCAATCTCTGAATTTCTGTTCGCAGCCTCGGAGTCTAGCTAAGCCAATCAGAAGTCAAGGCTCGCGGGCTCGAAGGGAGGACGGACTGAGGGGCCTCAGTCGGGCTAGACGACCCGGCGCGAGACCTGCCCACGCGAGCGCAGCACCGGAGTTCGGGCTGCGGAAGAGGAGCTGCCTCAGGACAGTGGGTCGTCGAGGGTGAGCCAGGTGGGGAAGCAGGGGCGAGCCCGGGTGCCCGGGGGCCGCCTCGACAGCAGGGAGGCCTGCTGCGAGCCCGGGCGGGTAGGCGGTGCCTCGGGCTCCCCGAGACCCGCTGGTGCGTGACGGCCGGTCCCTCCTCCCTCACCCACCTGTCACCGAGACCCCCCACTTGGAGCGTGGAGACCGTGCAGGGGGACGGTGCGGCGCCCGGTCGGGGGCCGGGTGTCTGAGGCGCCACCGCACCTCACGGGCATCCCGGCGCTGTGAACCGGCCCCGGGTGGCGCTTCGCTCATTTTCCTGCCTCTTAGGTCAGCAGCCCGTGGGCAGCCCCTCGCGCACCGCGCTCCCCTCACCCAGCAAGGAAGCCCCTCAGAGCGCCCAGCAGTGCGCTGTTGCCCTGTGTCCGGACCTTCTCGGAGGGTAACTGCCAGGAGCCCCGAGCGAGGGCACCCTTGTTTCGTTAGCTCGCCGATCCCTAGTCAGAGTCTGGGCCAGGTGCTGGGGTGCGGGAACCCGGTGTGAGCTCAGCGCAGGGAATTGCGGGAGCGGAAGGGTAGACTCGGAGCACATGCTCGGGTAGGAGTCACTGGACCTGATGACACTTGGGGAGTGAGGGAGAGGAAAGGGTGTACCTGGCACAGAGTGCAGAGTTTAAGGTCCAGCCCCCCTCGCGGTCGGACAAAGGC